ATGGCTAGAAATTTTAATTTTTATTCATAAAATCTACATAGTCCCGTAAGGTCATTTTCAAGGCAAAGACCCCATATTAGCGTTAGGGTTAGGAATTATAGTTGAACAGTTAGTATGGTTTAAAATCGGCCTGTACTATACTGATCTGCTCACCTATACTATACTGATTTACTATAATTTCTTGGGAAACTGCGATTCGTTCATACGGATTACACGAAAATCCGGATTTTGACACCTTTGGTTATACAGTATTAATTAGTTGATTAAATCTAAATACGTAAGTTTAATCTTTCACAGGAGTAATGTTACACGATATTTATTTTAACTTATTAGAGATGTGTCTCTCGCGCGAAAAACCTAGCGCTAGCATATATTTCGCGACCTTATGATCTCGCGCGAGAGGCACATCTCTAAATTTTATCATATACATAATTATAATTTTATAATGTATTTTCAGTAAATGATATTTAGTAAATATACAAATATAAAAAAAATAATTAGGTTCTTTTGCGTAATATTCAAAATCTGATTAATGCAATGTTCAAGTACGACAAAAACAACCAATAAATAAAGTTTCTTTTTTAAAATAAAATTAGCACAATCTGTATTTTTGTGTAATCAATAATACGTATACGGATTTGAACGAATTATGCCATTAAATGAAACATATTGATAAAAAAGATTTTTTTTTTTAATAACAATGAGTCAAGATGCTGAAGAATTGTATCTACTTGGACGAAAATATGCTTTTGGTGGTTATACTGGAATAGATAAAAATAAAGCTTTTGAATATTTTAAAAAAGCTGCTGATTTGGGTCATTTATGTGCTATAGGAGTATGTTATGAAAATGGACTCGGAGTTGAGAAAGATGAACAAAAAGCATTTGAATACTATCAAAAAGCTGCTAATATGGGTAATTCTGAGGGAATATTGATTGTTGGATTATGTTATGAAAATGGAACTGGAGTTGAACAAGATGAACGAAAAGCATTTGAATATTATCAAAAAGCTGCTGATATGGATCATGTTCTTGGGATGCGATATGTTGGACTATGTTATCAAGTTGGAACGAGAATCAAAAAAGACATAGATAAAGCACTTGAATATTATCAAAAAAGCTGCCAATATGGGATGTGCAAGTGCAATAAATAGTATTGGTTATTGTTATGAATATGAAATTAGAGATCAAAAAAAAGGATTTGAATATTATAAAAAAGCTGCTGATATGGGAAATATAATTGGAATATATAATGTTGGATTATGTTATGAAGATGGAACTGGAGTTGAACAAGATGAACAAAAAGCATTTAAATACTATAAAAAATCAGCAGAGAAAGGACATGCTAGTGGAATGTGTAGGGTTGGTGAATATTATCGAAAAGGCATTGTTGTTGAAAAAAACATAGATATTGCTTTTGAATGGTATTTAAAATCAGCTATTACTGAACAAAATACTACTAATAAAAAAGTAGAATTCTTTCATTGGATACCATATAATAATTTTGAAAATATTGAAGAAATAGGTAAAGAAGCATTTTCTACAGTTTTTAAAACAAAATATTTAAAGCAATATGGGTCATATGAAGAAGTAGCAATTAAGATTGTAAAAGATTCTAATAAAAATAAAGATCTATTTTTAAACGAGGTATTTTTTTTAAAATAATTCAAATACTAGTATTAATTAAAATAATTTTTTTTTTTAGTTAAAAGCTTGTCATAGCTTAAACCAATATTTAGGAATATCAAGAGATATAACGGTAAGATTTCCCTAAACATTAAAAATTATAAATAGAAAATATTGTTTATTTCATATTCAAACATGTATTAATATTATAAAAATATTATATATTATTAAATAGTAAGTATATAATACTTATTTATTTGTGATATATACAATTGTATATGAATTTTTTTGTATATTTTTGTATATAATGAGCAAGTTTACAAGTTCCTCAAAAATTAATGGTAAAACATAAAAGAAATGAAGCTTTGGGTTTAAATTTGCAGTTTACATTGGACAAAAATTTTAATAATATTAGTTTGAGTTAGATAGAGGTCCAATCCGGATAAATCCGCCATCCGTTTATCCGTATCTGAATTATCCGGATAATTCAGATCGGATAAACAGATCTAATATCTGGATAATCCGACTGATATTCGGATAATTATTCGAATATCAATAGTAAACGGATATCCGCTATCTGTTATACGAGTATCCGATCCGAACTTTATTCGGATAAATGCTATTCTGATATATGGAACTTGATAATAACTTGACTTTGTCTATAATTTTTATTAATAATTACTAACATTGGGTTTAATTTCAAGGAACGATTTTATTTTAGTGCTTAGTTATGCAAAATATGGTTCATTAAGCAAAAATCTTGCCAAAATTTCTAATTTTGGATGGAAAATCAAATTAAACATACTTTATGATATTATATCTAATCTTGATCTTATTCATTCTAAAAATTATTTACATCGAGATTTACATCCAGGAAATATTTTGTTAAAAGAAAATTATGAAGCATATATTACTGATCTGGGTTTATCAAAACCACTTGATGAAAAAAAAGAAAATTATATTCATGGAGTTTTACCTTATATGGCTATAGAGCTTTTTCAAAGAAAAGCATATACTCAAGCTTCAGATATTTATTCATTTGGAGTTATCATGGCAGAAATAACAACTGGGCAGAGACCTTTTAATGGTTATAAATTTGATAAAGATCTTGTAATTAAGACATTTTTTGGATTACGACCAAAGTTTGCTCTTGGAACTCCTAATTGTTATATTGAATTAGCAAAACAATGCATGGATTCAGATCCAAGCAAACGACCTACTTCTAAGGAAATAATTATCGAATTTGAGAAATGAATCTTAAATGATTATAACGATGATTATGACGAAGAAAATTTTTATATTTTTTTTGATGAAATTAATGGAATTTTTATTGAGAAAAGTGAAAGCGAAATTGAAAAGCAATTTTTAGAAAGTGATAAGATCAATGAAAATTTACCAATAATCCAAGAAAAATTAAACGATATATATACAAGTAAACCATATAATACGATAAATATTAGTTCAATTTTATCAAACCTGAATGGTAGTAAATCTGCTGGTATAGAAATTCCTGATTATATTTGACGCTAGCACTTTTATTAAAATGCTTTGTTTTTTGGTTTTGTTATTCATATTATTAAACTCGTCTATTCATTTATTTATTTAAATTATTTCTTATTATTTTTGTTGCAATAAAAATTAAGGATTTTATAATAAAAAAATTAAGTAAATGCGATTTGTAATCTGTATTTTTAATTTCGTTGATAAAAACCCGAGCATAATAATAACATTACTAATATCGGATTTGTCGACCAAATTCGTATTTCAATCAAATTCGTAAATTTTGATCTATCATTGATAACTCACGATGTATTAATTCAATCTTGATAATTTTTATACTATTCAAATCCTCACAGTGAGAGGGTTCAAATAGTATCAAAATTATCAAGATTGAATTACTACATCATGAGTTATCAATGATAGATCAAAATTTACGAATTTGATTGAAACATGAATTTGGTCGACAAATCCGATATTTGTTGACATGGTTTTGATTATTTAGTTGACTTATCATCCCAGTGTATCACATACGTTTTGATACTTTCAAAGCGTCTTCGTTGGCAAATACTGTAATTGAAAAAAAAACTTTAGAAGGCCTATCGGTTCGAAATTTGCTAACACTTAGGTATTAATAGATATCCTATAAGACTCAAGACTTTCAAAGATACAATATATTGAAAACCTCCGTCAATTTAGGAAAGCTGCGGATGAGATATCTTAAACTCCAATGAAAAAAATTAGAACTGGTATTTTAAGAGTTAGAATTAGAGAAATTTGGTTAGACGTAAAATTAGTCTTATGATAATTTGAAGGGATACAAATCAACTTGGATATACAAATAAAAAAAAAAAGGAATATTATTTATAAGTATATATTCAATCTTTTTTAATATTTGCGCAAATTCCTGTGTTTATTATAAAATCTTATTTGTATCCAGTATTTGGAGTCTTTACCTTGAAAATTACCTTATGAGCCATAGTAATTACTATGCCCGTAAGGCCATTTTCAAGGAAAACCTCATTTCTTTCCAGGGTTTTGTTGTGATAAGAGCAGACTTTCTCATAAATTTTCACACAAATTAACACATCAAGCATATTGGACAAACATTTAACCGAAATTTTAATAATGTTGACATCAGCGTCATAGTGATCTGTAAAGGCACCTGGAAAATGTGTACCGGTGTGAACTGCAGAAATCGTGACTCCGGAAGCACGTGGAAACTGTCAATCGAAGTGGCGCAGAAACTGTTCCATGGCTATAATAAATTAAGCCCATAATTTTACTAATGAAATCGCAGCCGCCTATTAAGTGAAAATTGTTCCTGGGTCAATTTTACCATAATGCGTGCTTATTTTTTAAAAATTTCTATTTTTGTAAGGAAAAAATTAAAAAGTTAATTCCGGCCGGAAGTTAGTAAACAATTTTGTAATGCGGACTAAAATTTCGAAGATCTTCGGCCGTTAGCCAATCAAAATCGAGGATCTGCTGCGCATTTTTTGTGCGGCACCCAGGGCAAATTGTTCCACTGAGCCGCAGAAATATGAAAACAATTAACCATAGCTGCCACAGCAAATTTGGACCAGCAGATCCTCGATTTGATTGGCTAACGGCCGAGGATCTTCGAAATTTTGGCCCATATTACAAAATTGGTTATTAATTTCCGGCCGGATTAACTTTTTAATTTTTTTATTACAAAACTAGGATCTTAAAAAATAAGCCCGCATTATAGTAAGTAAAATTGGCCCAGGAACAATTTTTATTTAATAGGCGGCTATAATTTCATTAGTAAAATTATGAGTAATTCCAGCCTAATCTTTTTATCATCGCTCTTAGCCAATCAAAATCGAGGATCTGCTGGTTCAAATTTGTTGTGGCAGCTATGGTTAATATGAAAATATGTGGTGGTCATTAGGTGGATACAAAATCTAATTAATAGTTATAAAGATTATTTGCTATAAATAGGTTTTATTAAAGATATTATTAGAGCCTTAGGTAGTATAGTAATTAAAATCAGTATAAGTATTATAGTTAATATCAGTGATATAATACTGATAAAATGTATAGTTTATCTTAAGTAAAAGAAAGTATATAATAAAGGCTTCTCGCCCTTGAGGGAACATATCTTCATGATTCCAATGAAATCTGTCTCCTAATAATCCTATACCTATTATTCTTGCTAAATAAAATATACTTATCTCTAAATCTACTGCTTAAGTAACATAAGTGGTACAAAGAGCAGGAGGAGCCTTGGTAAAATTAGGCAGCAAATTGCCTTATGTAGGAGGCATTATTAGTTTTTTTGGAGGAGGTGAAAAAGAAGGTAAGAAAAAAGGCAATCATTTAGCCGACATTATTTTTAATTATAGGGTGCTTTAAGCCAAAAGGAACAGGGACAAAAGAACGATTATTGACTAATAATTTTAAGAATTGGTTTAATTTTTTTTATTGAAAAAGAGAAAGGGTTTTTAATGGTTTTTTTGCTTTTAATTTAGCCTGATACTTTTGATTAGCCAAAAAATCAATATCATGAAACACAATCTTTAAAATAAATCAAATTAAACTTCATACTTACCCTAGTAATTTATTTGAACTATTAAGTAATTTCTATGAAGTGTCCCTCTCTGTAAAAATTGACAAAAAAAAATTGAAGGAGTAAATTAACGCCTGCTAGCTGTGTGTTTCTTGTTCATTTGATGAATATAAATTGTACTAAAATTCTGTCTAGTTGGTTTTCAAAGTACTGAAAACTTCTGTGATTGTTACTTTCCAACTGTCTTGACATCTAAGGCAGTTGTGGTTGTTTTCCAACTCTCCTAGCAAACTATAGATTGTTGTGGTTGTCTTTCCAATTTTCCAACAAATTGTGGATTCTGTAGTTCCAGTTTGGGTTATTGTTGAAGAACTCAAGCCATGGCTTTTGTGTTGTTATAAAATACAAGTGTTAGAGGTTTACTATAAGATAAAAGAAAACATATCTATGTTCAAAATTCACTCTCATCCAAATCTAAATACTCATTTTGACTAAGCCTAATGTAGGTCATACAAGGTCTCAAATTGATTAGTGACTGACTCACCATTTTAGGTTGGTACTGGGTTGGGTTCAGATAATCATCCAGAAAGCTAGGTCAGAACAGTGTGAACAGTTGAACTAGAAATGAAAATTACATATTTATATATGTCATCTAGCTAATAAAAATAAAATTACTTGTTGTCATTTGTTTTTTGTTTTTTTTTTTGAAAAAAAAAGCAATGCAAAATTTGTTATAATATATATTTTATATTGGCTAATTATATGCAAGAAACCATCAAATTAGGACTTAGTTAAACAAAATAATAGAATATATTAAATATACCTATGTCAATTTACCAAATACTTTTGTTGCTTATGAGCCACAAAGTTGAAACTATATTAACCAATCTATCTATATCACTTTGCCAAATATTAATATATCAATACTCATTATCTGGATATTTTTTAAAGGAAATAAATCAACTTGTACACATTGCAAAAATTTCTTTGAAATAATAGTTTTTCCAATTATAGGCACAGGAAAATTTCTATGCATACAACATTGTGTGCACCAAGCAATATACAACTTCACAAATGATCTAGGAATGTATGCATATTGTCTACTTATTGCCTCGTAGGTTTTTTTTGAACCAGAATGCTGCTTTGTACTACCATGCATCTTACCAAGAACATTATAAAGATTTTGAAAAGGCAAATGACATGGTCTGTTCTTTCATTTACATTTTTATTTCCATAAGCTGAATAATAGGATTTTGAGATGTTCCAAGATCACACATATAAAAATTTTTTTTTGCCCAAAAATGATCCTTCGCAGTTCCATTAGATATATCTTTGGGGGGTTTTTTAGCATACTTATAATTAAATCATAGTCTTCCTGTGTAATTATTGCTTTTCTTCGTTGTGTGGGTTTGCAGTTTTACAAAAATTCAGACACAAGTTGATCAAAAGCAGTGCGAGAAATAAAAGGAAAATCACTATTTGCATTCATAATATTGATTATTTAACTTTTATTGAGGTTTTTAAAAAAAACTAAAGTTACTTTGACTTTAATATTTTAGGGTCTCAACAGCGGGTAAAGTTGTTTTTTTTTAATTCACTAAGCACGCTTTATTAAATCAACAATACATCATTTTATGCATCGGGATTTAAATTTTAACAAACAAATTAATCATTTGACTTCCCGATTTGAAACACAATAAGCGCACGAACCTATTGGTTATTGAGAATAGCGAACGATAGTTAATCAAGGATATTATACAGATTCTTAGTCCGGGTAACCCGCTTAAGAATTCCAAAATCGGCTACCCCGATTCTGAATCGGGACAACCGGATTCCGAATCGGGACGATTCCCATCCGGGTTACAACATGTATATATATATAAATCGACCAGCTTACGATTACATTATTCGAATATCCGATCATGGTCAACAAAATCTCGTGTACATGAGCTGAACTGATCGAGTTAATTTCTTAAAATTACAGGCATTTCATGTTATTCTTATAATTTTTAATCTCACTTTTTTAATTTAACCGCACTTATTAAGATTACGGCGCTTATTCATACAAACAAATACAATTAACTAATTAGTTATATCGAGTCTTCAAACTTTAAATAGAATGATCCCTTCTAGAATGTCTAGTTTAGTGCTTAATTTTGATAGTAAATAATTCATATTTAGTGTTTTTGTAAATTTTATCGTCTCTCACTTTTGACTATCAGTTTTTACCACTTATGTCAGTTTCACCAGTTTCGCTTTTTCAAAAATTTTTAAAAGTCAGGATTTATTTTGTCTCTTGCCAATGCAAAACTCTGAGTTTTGTCTAATAATTATAGAAGGAAGTAATTTGACTGTTTCTTGAAATACTTTTATGTTTAGGAATTGGTTGGTATTGCTGATAACTGTTAGTGTGGATTCGAAAGCCAATTCTCTAAAAAAAGGACTTTTAAATTTATTTTGTAGTTGAAATATATAGATATCGTAGCTTTTTACATTCAATTAAGATAAAAAGTTAAATTTGCTTTCCTATGAAAATTTGCTATGTTAGCTGTTTATCATTTCATTAACCTCAAAATCATTTTATATTTTGATATGCCGAAACTTTACAATATAAAAAAATTTGAAGATTTCAAAATTGATTTTCTTAATTTTTAACCTCCAAGAAATAAATCACCAAAAATAAATGATAAAAATAGTTTAAAACATTTAGATTAAGTGAAAAGAAAAATATTTATCTGTATAATATAATGGGTTAGATATTGATTTTAGATGAAAATATTATAGTTGCATCTTCCTAGGACATGTTATATAAACACTTATTTTATTATAATTAAATCAGAATTTGCGAATTTACTCTAAATTTTTACATACTGATAATATTTTCTGAAACCTTTTTTGTATCGTATATCTTGCTGGTATATAAGTCTTGTGTATGTATTTGTTTAATTGGTTTTGATTTAATTTTATTAGCTTCCGAAATTTGTTTTTTGATTTCATGATCATTTTCCTGATCTAACTCATCTAACCAACGTGTGATTATTTCAATAATTTCTGTTGCAGTAGGTCGTTTGCCAATATCTTTATCCATACATTTAATAACTAATTTAACATAACAATCTGGTCCTAAACATTTAGGTCTTAATCCAGAGATAATTCTTGATACGAGATCACCATTAAACGGAATTCCATCAAATGCTCTTTGCCCGGTCGAAATTTTTGTAGCAATAACTCCAAGACTATAAATATCTGATGCTTGAGTATATGATTGACCCACCAAAACTTCAGGTGCTATATATGGTAGAATTCCACATATTTTTCCTTCCTTTACTTTTTTAGAAAGTCCAAGATCTGTGATATATGCGTCATGCAAAGTAAATGTTTGCAAAATATTTCCGCTATGTAAATCTCTGTGGACGAGTTCTTTGTGAATGAATCGACTTGAGATCCAAAGCTATATAATACAAAATATTCAATTTATCTTTCCATTCCAATTGTGATACTTGCTCAAGATTTTGCCGTAACGATCCTTCCGGCGCATTCTGCATAACAATAATATAATCACCATGATCATTTCTTGACACTCCAAAACATTCCAAGAACAAAGGATTCTCGTAACCAATTTCACAATAATTCTTCAATTCGTGGATAAATTCTTGCTCGTTTTCGTTTGAATCACGAATTACTTTATATGCACAATTACGCCACATACTATTAATTCTATCGAACCAACATACATAATATACAGTTGCAAATCCTCCTTTTCCTATTTCCTTGATATTTTTGAATTCATTATAATTAATCCAAGATAATTTATATCTCTCGTCGTCTAATATTTTCTTAAGTTCGGATTGATATGATCTGGTAATTTATTAGTTTTCAAAAGACTTCTATACTTTGTATACCAATAATTTGCACTCTGAATATCTCTCTTTGTACCGATTCCGTTTCTATAATATAGTGCAACATTACTCATTGCTGCATCAATGCCCATATTAGCAGATTTTTCATAGTATTTAAACGCTTTATTATAATTTCGATCAACACCGAATCCATTTTCATAACAATGACCATCATTACATATAGCATATGCATTATCCAAATCAGCAGATCTCTTATAATATTCAAATGCTTTCTGGTAATTTCTTTCTATTCCAATTCCATAAAGATAACAAAGACCAACATCATTCATTGCAGTCGGATTTTTTAAATTCGCTGCTTTCAAATAATATTTAAAGGCCTTCTTTTCGTCTTTTTTAACACCGATATCATTTTGATAATTGTAACCAAGTGTACGAAGTTGATTAGAGTCCTTTTTTTTTTTAAAGAAGGAAAATAATTTCATGTTCTAAGTAAAAAAAATATTTTGATTGTCCAGAGTGTAGCGGAGGGCATTTAATATTTGATTAAAGTGATACAAAAAGATATACCAATATTTACGTTTTGATTAGTTCATTGATTGGTCAAAAACGTGTATTTGAAAATTTTTTAGTGTAACATATCCAAAATTTTATATTACTTGTTACCATCCGAAATTGGGAGAGCGTCAGATAGGATAGTGCCAATATAGATCAGGGTGGTAAACGAATGTATAATATGTCGGTCAGAGTGTAAATGTATAAAATCAAATAAAAAACAAAACAATACTAATCTACGAATAAACTAAGAACAAACTAAAACTGCACGAAGCATAACCAGAAAATAAGTTTATTATATTTTAATGAGGAAGTCTACTCAAGACAAAAACCTCAAACAGAAAAACCTTGGGACAGAGAGCCTGCCTTTACAAGAGGGCGAAAACATTCGGTTTATATGCATGTCAGCTAACTAGAATTTCAATAAAGACAACTCTTCTCTATTACATCGTTTCACGTTACTAATCTTTATTTACAGCTGACACCAATCAAACTTTCCAACGCGTTAAGGTCCGAATTAAGAGTTGCACTCAAATCATCAATCTCGGAGATCAAGGTCCAAATCACTAGTTCGGAGATCGGGTATACGTAAAGGACAATTGGGATATTGATAGAAAATGGCTATATAAGGGAATAACGGAGACAGTATAAAGAAACAAGTAAGAAAGGGCAAATAGAAATAAGGTTGATGTATTGGCAAACAATTAAGGAAAAGGATAACTATATATAGTAATAACGTAGGCAAATATAAGTGTTATAATTAAGGAAGGGATGAACAATGATCGGTTAAAGGTTTAACAAAAATCAAGGAGGACGATCGAAATATAATATTGTAAGGGCTAATACTAACTAATAAATAAAAATTTTATGCGCAGAAATTTTTAATGTAATAGTAGTCCATTCATTAAATAAAAAAATATTCAACTGATTTTGCTATCGACTTGATTATCTAGTATCCCTTAATGCAAGCCCAGCAATCTCACACGAAATTTTGGGATTGTTCCGTAAAAATCTATACCATGCAATAAAATAATGAACTTATTGAAATTTATTGATTATGACAAATAAATCGTCTCAAAAAAACATAATCCTTCTACAAGTAATGAATAAAATTGAAAAGTGATGCTTCGTAAATATAAATAATAATATTCATCCTCACAAGCTTCTTTGGTAATTCCATAATGGCGAACTGGTTGAGTAAAAAATTTTGCGAAATAAAATTCTTACATAAATGATTCAGAAGTTTGATGCTTCTTACCAGAAAAATATTACATGATTAAAATCCAATTTCAGGAAAAGATTTAGTTTGACGAACGACAAAAACCTAAATCAAATTAACGAGACTAATTTTAAAATACCGAAGCCCTTGTACTCTCGCTAATAAAAAAAAAAGTAGTTAAATCTGGGTTTAAATATTTAAAATCATAATCACACCTGCTTTTAATTCCGTAATAAAAAAAACTTTGCTATCCTTATCTAATACTACTTTTATAGCTTATTCACTAAAATGCTTACAGAAAAAAAAAAATGCTGATGTAGTTGACTTTTATAATACCAGGAATGGAGTATTATGTTATATTAATGGTGATCTATTATTATCTTAAATTGAAAAAAGGATGAATCCGACTTAGAAGAATATATATGAAAATTTATCTTAAGTACCCCAGAATTTTTAACTAAACAATTATATATAGTGAATGTATAATAGTGGCAAATATTTATAGTTTAGATATTGTTATGCTTCACTTCTGAGTGCTATATCAAATTAATAGCCCAATGCTATTCCTTCTAATAGATCGCTTTACTTCGAAATGATGATAATTTATCTAAGGTATAAGGTTATTTTGAAATTATTTCATTAATGTATCATTTGCACAAGCAATTAAATTTCAATGTATTAATTTAAATTATGCTTATCGTTTCAACTTTACGCGACACTGTTAATCTTCGTTAACATGATTTAATGTTGGGTCTATGGCGTGGCTCACATTCAAGAGATGCCTAAAGCTGAAATTTTGTCGTAGAACTCCATAACGATTTTTATCAAATATGCTAAATCGCTCTTTTTGATTAAATAATACTTATGAGCATTTTAATAATTGTGGCTCCCGAAGTTGTCAAGGTTCAGACATTAATTTTTATAGCATTATTTACCAAGATTCTTTAAAAAAAATTTTATTAACATTTTCAGTGTTAAGTGCAAAGAGCTAGTTTATTTTATTAATTTTAAATATATAATTTTATTTCGTTTGTATAGCATGGGCACACAATCGAAGCAATATTGTTAA